ATATAATATGTATGTAGATCTACATGTACTTTAAATACATATGTTTTTGTACACATTAGTGTACCATATAATATTTTGTATAGATTAATACTCTACTCGGACGGAGATATATATGAGATTTTTTGGTTAATCATTTATCCAACAACCTTAGTGAACTTGAATTTATTTTTTAATGATTTTAACTTTCCTATAAATTTTGATTTTTGATGATTAAAATTTGGAAAATTTCTCAATTTTACAATGATTGATTTGATAAAATCACAAAAAAAAAGTAAAAATAAATTCTAATATTTTATAAGATAATATTTTTATGTCGTTTAAGCTTGTGAAGAAGTTTTCGAAATCTTCCCTTTGAAATTTTATTTGATTATTTCTTTAATATTTTAGTTAACAAATAGCTGTAGTTTATATATAAATGTACGTAAGCATTTTATAAATGAATATTTATACAATATTAATACAATGAATTTTTAATAAATTATAGGTTCATATAAATTTTTGTTTCGAATGAGTAATAGTTTATTCCTATAGCTACAATTTTTTCTTATTTAACATTTGTATACGAATTTTTCTTATTTAAAATTTTATATATATATGTATATATGTTTATAGATATTTCCAACTATGTCATAAGCTTAATAAATTTTAAATGACAAATAATTTTCACGTGTTTAAAGTACAAATCATATTATTTCAAAGCTTACCAATTGGATGAGAGCCATATTTATTGTGAATCTTCCTTATCGTGCACAAATTTTTATTATAGATTTTGTACAGGAAATTAAACTTAATTTCGATATATTTTTCTTAAAAAAGTCAAAATTTAAAATCTGGTTTAGAAAAATTACATAAATATTTCTGATTTCCTATATATTTATGTATATTATTTGAAAACTTTTATATAAGTAAATAAATACTATAAATTATAAAGTGTAAATAATATTTTTTTCATATATGTAAATTATTTTATTAATTACGTACAGGCACCTTAAATTGCAAAATTTTTGTTTCCTTCCTGTAATCATGTATGCATGCATGTATGGAAAATTGAGCTTAGTTTCTGTTTTTGTTGCTGTTACAAATTTTTATATGTGTCTGCGTATGTGGTTCAATAGCTTAATAAAGTTGGGTCAAACCAATGGTTTGTATTGTAGCACTTTTCCCTTCAACAAGTGAAAATACTGCTTTTAAAAACAATCTATGTATATCCACCACACTATTAAAATTATTTTCATTCACAAGCGAAACTGTTTCTAGGATTGCATATATTTAGGATGAGCGATTTATGCAGTCTTAGAAATAAAGGAAAAATTAATATAAAAAGGGGTTAACATAATGCTCGATTTTAAGGGTTAATTGTGTGAGTTAAGAAAAATAATTATATTTTTTAATGTCATGGAATTTACCGTTAGCTTCTTGCGCTTATAGAAATTTGAAAAAGCTTGCCGTTTCGGAAATATAAGGTGTCAAAAATTCAAATTTTACGAATTTCAAGAGGCGATAACTTGAGAGGGGGTGGAGATGGAAAAAAATTTTCTTCTAACGAAATGAACTATTTGTTAATGTCTAAAAGCCCCTAAAATTTCAAGCTTCTGCAGGCTAGGGTATAGGAGAAAAACGACATCAAAAATTTGAGAAAAAGGGCTTTAGATAACGGTAAATTTGAACGGCCATTTTGCTTTTCTAAAGTTTAACTATAATATAGCGCGCTAGGGAAAGCAAGCCGCTGCCTTTCTGCGTTTGCAAAATTTCAAAAATGCTTATGGTTTCATTGCAACAAATAGTTAAAATGGGCCATTTTTGTGGCTTTGGGGGGGTATAACTTCTAGAGGGGGGGAGATAGGTAAAAGTTTTGTTCTACGAAAATAAGTTTCTAGTAAAGATCTATACACGTATTAAATTTCAGCTTTCTATCTTTAGAAATGTAGAAGTTTTGTAAACAGACACACGGACAGACGGACGGACGGACGGACGGACGGACGGACGGACGGACGGACGGACGGACGGACGGACGGACAGAGTGAAACTAATAAGCACTTTTTTTCAAAAAATTTTTGGAAAAGTGCTAAAAATCACTTTTACAATCTCCTGTTATTGTTTAAAACAAAGAAGTCAACAGTTTTACACATCTGATTTATGGGTATCACATAAAGCAAAATTATATGCGAGTATATACATAAACATACATAAAAAAAATAAAATTATATTCGAATATATACACATAAATAAAATAAAAATAAATGAGAAAAGTTTTTTTCTTTCAATTTTATGAAACATAACGTTAACATATTTGGTGAACTACACAAATAACATCACATCATTCATATAGAGGGATACCTGTGATAACCGTATTACATAATGTCGGAAATAGTTGTTGTGAATTGTTACTCGCCATATACATATACTAAATTATTGTTCAGTTTTTTTTGCTTTTCTTGCTTTCTTGCATTTCTTTTACACTCTGAAACTTTTTAATACATAATTTAAACAAAAAAATAGGGAAAAACGTAAGTTATAATATCAAAACCAAATCTCTCATACATGATGAGAAGTTTTTGTCATTTTTTTTCTTGTTTTTCGTTTTTCATTTATTTTGTACCACACCTTTCCGTATTATTAACTAATTTTTAACCTGATTTAATTTATTTTTGCGAGAAAAAAAAAACAGATATAAGTAATACATCTATAATTCAATGTTACGTTTATAATAACGAAATACTTACTACGTAGGGTTAAACATATGCACAATGTACAAAATAGGTGACTAAATGAATTTGAAAATGTATAGGTACTTATATTTCTACTCTGGGCGTTTACAAATTTTCTATAGAGTTCTTTATGCAGTAAAACTTTCTTCTGCAATTTCTTTCTGGAAAATTATTCTGAAGATACTTAAAGAGATAATTAAATATTCCTATATAATTTAAGAACAAATATACAGAGATAAATATGTAATATAGTATAGTACACAATAATGTAATTTTTTATTATTCTTAGAAAAAATCGCTCGGAGTGAGTTTCATATTGATAAAGGCGTACTATCCGGTACGAAAGTGGAAATTGAATCGATGTAGATATTAGTTTATTTCTGATCCAATTGCGTATTATTTTCTAACAAATTGAACTATAATTTTTAGTCCAATTTCTGAAAAACAATAAGTCTGTTATGGTTGGCACATAACCGACAAGAAGTTATCATGTGCAGTTTGGTATGTTTACTAATATATTATTGTACATTTAGTATATATTTTATATATTACACAATATTATGAAAATGCACTTTAATAACTAAACTTAGTGTCATCACATCACCACGCTTATTGTAAGCAATACAGTTGATAACAAATCCAAAAACAATTCTTTACATCGAACTCTTTCATAAAATTTTCATAAAATTTTTCAACGTATAACTAAACTTTTCTTCACATTTTTCAATTTGCATGTGCGTTTTTTTGTTAATTTACTGTAAAATCCAAAATCAAAATCCTTTATAAGGGAGAAATAAAGAAAAAAAAAATTTTTATTTCATGACCTCAAAAGAAATTAAACGTATTCGTTTTTCTTTATTTTCTTTTATTGCTTTTAGCGATTGGGTTGCGTACAAAAACAGGAGTAGTGTTGGTATCAAATTTAACATGTCGAATTTTCAAAGAAAATGTTTTACCCTGTAATAGAGAAATAAAAATAAACCACTTTTGGCGAGGTTTTGTTCTGCCAGTTTGTCTGTTTGTGCACACGTGTACCTCAATTTCGCCTGAAGTAATTTTGATAAAAATTTTTATAGATTTTTATAGATCTAAGTTTTTTGATTTTGATTTGAAGAAATATTGAAAAGATGTGCTTGAAATTTTGTTTATAAAATCCATTTAACAATACGACAAACCATTTGGTTGTTCAAACAAAATTTAAAAACTTGCTTTAAAATTTCGAGTCTACTAAAAGTTAAGAACTTTGCCAACATATGGCATTATAATCAATCGATTTCCTTGAACTTAAAATATTAATTCGGGTTGTTAAAGCAATGAACATAACAAATTTTTCAGAAATCGGATGACTTAAAGTGAAGCTATACTACTCGTAAGAGCAAAATTTATATTTTTCTAGGTAAGCTTGCTAAGTGCTTATTAAGTGTTTTAAGGGAGCTTTTTATAATTTTGTGCATTCCGCTCGGCTATGTGCAGATCATGTCAATTTTTTTATAGGCTTCGTTTGCTCATTTTATATTAAAAACATAGCTACATGAACTTTTATTTTTCATTCATACATTATTAAATTTGTACATTTTATATTCGTGCCTCTCTATACGAGTATATCGCAGCATTTTGCCCTTTCGGAAGTACAAACAAACTGAATGGATTTTAATTTAACTATATATACTCGTATAAAAATTTTATTTGGTGTTACTTTTTTATACATAACAAAAATAAAAAAAATAAAAAGTAAAGTAATAAAAAAATATTTCATATTTCATTGGATTTAAATTGTACCGGTGTAAGAGAAAGTCGTTTTACAAGTTCTGTCCTCTTATTTTTTTCTTATGGCTTTTATAATAATATCCATGTGGATATTATTGTATTTTTATATTTTTAGTCGAAAATGAAAGCAATAAGATGATTATTGTGTTTTAAGATTATGTTGTGCTTAATTAAATTTGTTACTAAATAGCATTGTTACATAACCTGACAACGGTTTAAAAATATCTGTCCCTTAACGAAAATTATTCAAATTTTGACCTAATAAAGCGACCAACAAAATAATGTTTACAACTTACGTATACTTATATATGCGTACACTACACATTGTTATAACAAAAACGTTAAAAAATATGCAGTAATAAGAAAATAAAACAAATATACTTTCATTAATAAAACATGCACCAAATAAAAAATCAAAAAAAAATATACATATACACTTATTTGTGGACATTTTTTTTTGAGAACAATTTTTAATTGAAATTTGTATTTGTTTACTGTATTTTAATTTTTTTCTTTATGTTTCAGAGAATTATTAAGAGCAATGGATTTCGTTGAAAATTTACAATACTGAAATTGTAAAGCGAAATGAATGGAATTATAGCATTTGCAATATTTTTAATTTAACCAACTGATGAAATTAATGACATGTTATTTGTTTGGAGAAATTAATGAGGATCTAATAAAATTTACTTTTTACGGAAGAAAGATGAAGAATAACACTGTGCTTTTAGCTGTTTAATATATTAAAGAAATTATATCTAGTCGGAATATACTTTTTATTATACGTAAAACCTTAATATAGAATTTAATTGCCAGAAAAAAAAGAAATACCAGAAAAAAAATTACTAATTTGAAAACAAAAACATATAATAATGAAAATTACAACAGTAAAAGAGCATAATATATTCGAATAGTTATACATTATTAATTTTTTTATATTAAAAAATGACTGAAGCTTTTAGTAATAATTTAGGAAGTCATCTTGGTCGCCATCTCCTTTATTGGGCAATATCACAATCGGATATATGGTATTTGGGTAGTCGATGTGCTGAATTAATAAACAAATTTAGTGGGCCGTATGAACGTTGTTTATTAACTTTAGATGAGGATGAATTTGCTGAACTATCAATAAACAATAATTATCCTTTAAATTATAATCATAATATAGAAAACTTTCAATTGAATAGTAATTTAGATGAAAATAATAATGAAATTGTAAATGATATAAATAATAATAATATCCATAGCAATTCTTACGAATACAGTAATAATAGGAATTATCATCAACTAGATCAAAACGAAATGTCTGCTAATTTGAATGAACGAAATACTAGGAGAGATGGTGAGTATAAGTAATAAAAATTTTTTGATTATTATTATAAATTTTACAATGTTTGTACATGAGCATGCTAAGTGCTATAAATAGATGCACGGTTTTACATATTGCCGTATATCTACAAAGTGTAATGCTTTAAGATCACACTTACTGCAAATGTAATAAAAAAAATCTGATGTGATCGGCATTTAACCGACCGCAATGCATATTGTCTAGATTAGTAAAAGTATTCCAGAAGATTATGAAAATGCGTTTTAAACACTTCTATACAATTTTAAGGACACTAATAAGCTTTCAGCCAACATACCTAGAAAAATATGAATTTGGCTCTTAGTAGAATTTCATTTTGTGCCCTCTGAATCATACGAAAAGTTCATGAGTAAATTTTAAATATTAAATTTGAAGATTTTTTATCAATTCGTTCCGTAGATATAGCAAAAAATGTAAAATCAGCCCCCACATTAGTTTCCGAGACCTGATCTTCCCAAAAAATTTATAAATTTGTTGTTTTAACACCTCCAATTTAAATATCAAATTTCAATGAAGTCGGTTGATTATTTCTCGTTATATACGAAAAAATGTATATTTGGCCCGTAGTAAACGTCCAGTTGCTTACAACTGATTTCTTTCAAAAGTTATGAGGTTTCGCGAACGGTCAAATGAAGTTCATATATGAAATTTCGAGTAAATCCGTTGAATATTTTCTTAAAATTGATCAAAAATGTAAAATAGGCCCGCTAAAGGGTCTATATATCCCGAGGTCTGATATATCACAAAAGCTGATCAATCCATGCCATAGTCGAAATAAACTTACATATTTATTATATAAAATATAAAATTATATTTTATTTAATATAATATAATTTTATATTTTATATAATAAATAATTTATTATAAAAAATTTTAATTTATTATACAAAATGTAATATATAAAATATAAAATATAAAATTTCATCAAAATCGGGTCAGCCGAACTTGAGATACACACGTACACAGACCGACAGGTCTCTAAAAATAGTTTATTTACTCTTCCCTATGATGGAAAAGTGCGTTTCCATCGAAAACTCGATATGCAAAATATGTTGCTGTCATATAACCTACCTACCTTATTGTATACACAATGCGGTCGATAATAAAAATAAAAAACGTGTTGGCAAGTGTTTCGAAATGCAATAAAATATTACATGTTAATTCATTACTAAATAATCAAAAAGAATAACTGGAGCAAAATATTTCAAGATCGTCATAAATTAAAAATATTTCAAATTTAATATTTGTAAATATGAATATCACCTTTTCATAAAATCTTTTTAATTCACAAAACGCATTGAAGTCTTTTGTTTATTCCGGGATAATTTTGCGAAAATATTACAAAACTTGAAAACTAAAATAAATTTTTTAATAAATTATATTCAAGAAAATACAGGCATCATATATTTTATATCAATTGCTTTAACAAAATTTTATATTATCACTCAAATCCTAATGAGAATTCAAATTCTAAATGCTTTATATTCATCATATATTTTGCAAATCATGTACTATTAGTTTTAATAGAGTAATTATCTAAATATACACAACTTTAATTGGAAATTTTTCGATTGGCTTTTACACCAATGAAACCATATTTGAATATTTGAAATGTTTGCATTTATTAGCAGACAAACTAAAAACGGTTTTTTTTCATATATGCATATGCTTATGTATAAAATTCCATAACAACAGTTTAATAATTATTAATTATTATCATTGATTAACAACAGTTTTAACCACGGCTGACGAATAAGAGAACTTGATAGACAAAGTCTGAAATATTATCGATGGCAAAAAATTGCAATTTTATAAGTATGCTTCTGGTAATCAGAAAGGGCCCTCTTAACTTCAGTATCAATATTTCATTGGTTCAATAAAATTAATATTTCCTAAATTTTTAACGAAAGCACGAGTGCATTTTGAAACATAAACTTTATAGCGAAGCAAACGCCTAAGTGCCTAATTGAGTTGACCCTACATAAATCTTGCTGATTTAAAATATAATTTGTTAAGGGTACTCTTTGTCGAACGTTACACATTAGCGCACACATGGCCATATTAATTTTTACAGAAGTCACTTAAACTATTTCTTTGAAGATTTTCATGTTGTCAGTATAAATTAACACCTCACTTGACATCAATATATTAAACATCATTAACCTCACTATACATCTTTAACCGAAACGATAAAGAGTGGGTATCCTTGGGAATACAAAATCTCATTAAGAAATGATTCAATTGCTAAGTGGAAGAGGATTCTGTAGTTTTTATTGGTGTAATATGATCTTACACAGCACAAAAAGTTGACAACGGACAAAGGAATACAATGATAATAGATGTCACCATAAATCATCAATTTTAAAATCTTAACAATGGTTAAAAGTTTAACTATAGACCATTCCTAAGATTTTGGTTCAACATTACATTATTTTTACTTTTTTTCTTATGAACAGCCCTATAGCAAGCTTTTTTCCAAACGGATGAATAAATACTCCAAGAGTTATTTATTTAAAGTAAAAGTTAAAGCGGGCGCTAATAAGGTAAGGGCGAACAGCATTTCCTCAGAACAAATTTTGAAAATTTCATCTTTTTCTATAAAAAACCAGGTTCAAAATTGGAAACACATTTGCAAGCATTAAAAAGTTCCTAACAAAATCGGTAAAGATAGTTTTAGGATAGTTATTAATATGCTGAAAATCATCCATGTTTACTTGGAAAGATAAGAAAAAGTACGATTTGGCAACAATGTTACGAAAAAATTTGAAAATTATTTGGGAATTATCACCCAAAAACTCATTGAACTTTCAAAGGAGTCCATTGAGCTCTCACATTTCCCCTTATGATTTATAAATCTCCAAAATATATTGGAATTATATACAATGCCATTTAAAGTTTTAAGTTATTTTTAAAAGTCATAACTTTCTTTTGCTGCTTACTTGAATTTATTTTGTGACATTTAAAAATTGCAATATTCCCTGGCGCTTTTAGAGAAATATTTTATTACATATAAAATACCCTAATGATTTATAAATCTCCAAAATATATTGGAATTATATACAATGCCATTTAAAGTTTTAAGTTATTTTTAAAAGTCATAACTTTCTTTTGCTGCTTACTTGAATTTATTTTATGACATTTAAAAATTGCAATATTCCCTGGCGCTTTTAGAGAAATATTTTATTACATATAAAATATTTGCTTTCCTTTTCGTTAGCAGACGACTCGTTTTCGATACGTTAAGAGAAACATATTTTTTGTTAATAAATGTAAGAAATGTGTAAAAATTAACTCTAATTCACAAGTACAGTCAATTGGAAAGAAAAGGTTCCTTGCCATAAGTATTCTTTTGAAAAATTCAATGCTGAAGCGAAACTTCTAAGGCATGAAGAAAAATTAATTATGCTCAGTTCTTGATGAATTAACTATGCTCAGTTTAGATTTCAGAAAAAAATCTAAAGTGGCAATACTATTACATACCAAAGTAAAGTTGCTTTGTCAGTTGCGATCAAAATTTTAATTAATCAATGATAATACGTAAGAATTCTTTTCTCTGTAGCAGTTGAACTTTGTCCAAATAATAAAAAATATGAGTGTAGACGAAAATTGTATAATTGAAGTTCTTTTAAAAATCGAAAGAACTTGAAGTTTACAATGAAATTTTAAAAATCAAATTATGTCATTGCCAAAATCAAAGCTGTTTAACTTCCGACATTCATTTAATATCAACTCTAAATAATTATCATTAGAGCCCATTGACCTACACAATTCCAATGTTTTCTTTTCTACATCAAGAAAAAAAAATGAAAAAACTTCCTATATATAAAAATTACCTTGACCATTCAAAGAAATAACAATTCAGATATCATCAAACCATATTTTTTATTCTCTTACGTAAAGGTCAAACATAATAAAGAAAAAATAAGAAATATTTATTACTATTATTACGTATGTATGTATTTGTATTCACCAAAACCTCTTTAAAAATATTTATCATTTCTGGATTAAAATGGCAATCTAATACACAAATACTGTTCAATGTATTAGAAAAAAGAAACGTTAACTACACCATTTTTAATTGATTTTTATTAGATTTTAAAGAACCTTGTACATATTTAATTTTTTTTTAAAATTTTCCTGATAGATACTTAATATTGCATATATGTTAAAAAGTGAAATAACCATCAACATTCAAAGCTTATTGTATAAAAAGCGGCATGAAATTTAAAATTTAATTGCTACAGCTTCAAAAACTTCACGAAATTTAAGTGATGAAAATAGAAGTAACGTAAAAATTATTGATAACTTTCAATGCATTGTTTTAAATTTTTCAAAATATTTCAAAATTTTTCTCTATAATGTTATATAATTGTAATAGTACTCTAATATTGCAATTTCTGCTACATATACAATATAAATGAGTACAATACGATTTAGAAGATAATATCATATTTTTCAAATCAAAATTTCTTTTGTTAAATGGGAAAATTGCATCATATCCAATACTTAATACGTTTACATGGCATATTAAGTACTTGAATTGAAATGTTATTACTTGAAATAGACTTAAGTTTGAAACTAATGGTAAATTTGAAAAAGTTTATGTGTGCCGTGTTTAATCTATGATATATTGACGTTATATCTCTTCTATCCTTTTCTATGAAATGTTGAGGAGTAACTGAATTAAAGTTAAACTACTTTTCGGGAAGAAAATATAAAATATTAAAATAAAAAAGCAGCAATAACAACCTCAAACGGATGACTGGCCTTGAATATGGGAGAGTGATGAACTTAAATAAGAAACTACTATACTATATTAAAGCTGGCAGAGGAAATTCTATGATAGTTACAATAAAAAATGTATAAATTTAATAATGGACACTTCCGAACAATAAGTTACAACCCGTTGAAGAAGTGCAAGTTTTTGAATTTGGAATAAATAATTGAATGAATTATTGTCTTAATAAGATAACATTTAATGATTTCGAAGCCATGGATCCGGAAGTTAGGCAGTTATGCAAATTATATTGGAAAAAAAAAATTGGAAAGCAACTTAACCATTAAAATGAACAGGAATTTATATAAAGACAAAAACCTAACGGTAAAATCTGACGAAATTATAGAAATCGAGTTCGGGAATAACATGTGCACGACGACATAATCTATAATTAGTACTCGTATAATAATGGCCAACGCATTTTTGTCTTTTATTTCGAAAGTATTCATGCCCAAATTGGAAAGAAAAAAGGGAAGAGGAATGTTTGGTTCTGAGAGTTTGGATGCGGTATGTTTACGACGTTTTTGCAATAGTATATAAGGAAAAATTGGACAACATTAACAGCTGTATCAATAAATTGCGTAAAAACATGGAATTCATTTTTAAGACGGGTGAAAAAGGAGTTTTACTTTTCTTGGAAATATTAGTAAAAAGAAAAACGGGCAAAATTGAATTCAACAACTACATGAAAAAACCAGTACATAAACATGCATTCAAAATACATAAAGTTTAATATGGGGATTTTCAACTCTATGATCTACAAAATGTTGAATAAACCGATGGAAAAAGATCTAAAAACAAAAGAAAATTTCATAGTAGACGCTGCTATCAAGAAGTGGCATTCTAAGGAACGCAAGAAAACATATGGACTTCGTTAGCTTATGAGCATTTTTTAACACATTTGTTAAACAATCGCCTAGGGAAATACAATATCTGCGATCGGTAGGAAATACCAATTAAGGAGCGAATTAAAAACCACCAGTGACAAATCCAAGAAGGAGAAGTAATAGGAATAGAGACCTATAACAACAAGATTGAAGGTGCACTAAAATGAAGTAAAACGGGCGATTATATTAAGATTCGATAGTTTTGAATCTATCGTTGCTAAGCATTTACATACATAAAACGATAACGAAAGATTATCTAAAGATTATGAAATACTTAAAAGGAAAATATATGTATGTAAAAGAGAAATTTATGACAGCATACGGATATACAAATTTAAAGGGGAATATTTATTGTATGCAGAAGGCGACAATAGGATTACATAGATATTTAAATTTTAAATCTACACGAGTTTTAGAATTAAATAGTCATTGTCTTCTTTAATTTCAACAAATAGTAATAATCAATAAAATAAAAATTTAATTGCACAAATCGGACTATGTAGGAATATTTATCCAGGAAAACTCTTTTAATGAAAGAAAGTAATCTTTTTTGAATTGAAAAATTTTTCTTTCATTTTGAATGTGTTTTTAGTAAATTTGTAAAATATTGCATATTTGTATAATGTCGTAAATTCAATTGCATATTGCTATTAGTTATAGGTACATACATAAATGTGTAATGCAAAATTTTGGGCAGAAAGTCCAGATTTTTTTAGTATGTTCGATTTATGAAAATGGTAGTGGGAAATTAATGGCACTGTACATACTTTTATATGCATACAGTTTGTTGATATGTTCGATTGAGTACTTGACTTGAAGTTTCAATCTGCGTATATACTGTACATATTAAAATAGTATTACTTGAAATCGAGTTGAGTTTGACAATAACTAACAAGCTAAAACTACAATATACTCTAGTATGCATACAATATATGCCATTGTATATGCCTTCATGAGTAGACAAAACTTTTTGAGAAGAATTAACCTTGATTCCTCCCTCCTCCGAGTTCTGAGTTTTATTAATTCACAATTTTACAATTATTATCAATTTTATCAATTCACAATATTTGGAAAAATTCGTTTATTAAGACATTATTGAAATCGAAACTGACTTACACAGTTGTATCAATGAAAGGCACCATATGATTTTCTCCAGGCCATTAATTTTTGTAAATGTAAAGTAAACTCCTAAGAGAGACCATTTTGAAAGGTTCTTGTACGTTTTTCTAAGTCGTTGAAGAAAAAAATTTAGTATAAAATAACATTTGCAGTATAGAATACATACTGTCAATAACTCCTAAACCAGATCAGGGAGCATCATGACTCATATATAAAATTGAGGGTCAGCTGACAAGATTGCCTGCTACGGTAAAAATAATGAAGCTCCAATGTTAAGTCACCTAGAAAATTTGAGTTTTTTAAAAATGAAAAGCTAAAGTTTCAATTTTTTTGAACTAAGTCGTTTGATTCCAAAATCTGAGCAGATTATAGTGTAGATATTCATGAGAAAACCTTTTTTGAGGTTTCCAAAATCATACTTAATAATAGACCTGTCTTACACATGCACGTAGTTGTACCTAAAATTTCAAAAAGTCGAGATCGGTCGAGATTGCATGTGAACTGTAAACATCTCTGATATACAGAAGTGTTGTCTACTCATGGGGCCTATAGAATAGTTTATAGCAGTGCACCTTGATACGAGTCTTCATGTATATTAATTTGTCATTTTCAATTTTACGATCCGCATATATACATACATACATACATGCAATTTTGAAATAAAGCTAAATATGTTTATCGGATCGGCTTGAAAGTTTCTGGTAAAGTAATATTTATATAAGCTCAAAATCCGCTTAAAATCTGCTTCAAACTGTAAACGCAGTATTGTATGAAGGCCAAAAACAATGAAAACAATTTTTTAGTTCCGACAGATCGTGCCATATACCGCGTCTATTCAGGTTAACTGCCAAACTTAGTATACATATGGTTGTTATTTATTGGTATTTAGCATAATTTGATGTTAGTAATGTAAATGTTGAAATTTTTTTTTCCAAATTATCCGCTTGTTTCTTTAATGTAAAAAATTTCACTACTGTTAAATTTTTATTTGAAAATAAAGATTTTATTTTTTGATGCTAAATATATTATTTAGTATATTTTGTGGTACGAATAAAATGGCTTCGTTGTATTTAGCTTGAGATTCATGTGAAAATAGAAAAAAGAATTAAACGTAGTAGAATTAAAGCGAAATTTCTCTCAAAAAAAAAAAATAAACCAGACAGAAAACTTTAAAAAAATTTAAAAACTTTATAAATAAGTGATAATAAGTGATAAACGTCAAATTTCAAAGTATTTATCAAACATAAACAAATATTTTTTGGTTATACCAAAAACCGAAAATTTTGATTTTGGATTAAAAAAGTGTGAAACTTAGAAAAAAACCATTTGTGCAATCTTTTTGTTTGTTTTCATTTATTTTTAATTGAAATGTTTTGAAAAAAAATTATTGTTGATGAAAAACTTTTTTTTTCAAATAAAACCTGACATAACCAAGAAAAACATATGTTTCGACAGCTGTAAGATTTGAAATTTTTTAAGACACTAAATTTTAATTTACAATACTTGAAAAAACTTTAAACATCGAGAAAATGAGAATGTCATCATTTTCTCTTAGTTTTGTTCAAAAAGTATTATCCAAGACAGTTTGCATGCAAAAGAACAACATTTGACATTTAATGTCAATTTCAATTTGGCAACGCTTAGAGCAAAGAAGGAGATTTACCTAAATTTTTTTCCTTTACGACACGATTTTTTAGGGAATGTAAGCGAAAATGAAACAAAGATACTCCTTCCTTTAGTATTCCTAATTCGTTAGATAAAACAATATGTAATTCACATTGATCAAAATCTAACACGAATTAGCAACTTTTTTGAAAACTACCCGTTTCCGATAGAATAAAAATTTAAAAAGTTTAGGAAGCATAAAATGTGACGTCATCGGGAAGGTACTAAAAAAAATTGTTCGTATCATTATATAACATCTAATATTCCTCTAATTGCTAAATCATATTGCTAAAAACTAATGGCTATCACCAATTATGGAGCGGACATTGTAAATTTTTGGTTGTGAGCTTGCCAAATAGTTTAAATTTACAAACAAAATATTAAAATTAATAGACATTAACAAATAACCTAAAACATTCTTCATTAAAGAAAATTAATCTTATTCAGAAATTTTGCACATGGCAATATGTTCTAAAAATTTTTGGCTATTAAGGGTGATCGCAGACTTGTAAGTTGTAACTTTTTATTTTAACAATAACTTCTTATAATAAACTAAACTGTTATGTCAAAACTACCCAAATGCCAAACTTAAAATTATTTGCGGCTTTATATGCAGGTTGAAGACGACTTCAAACGGATCTCAAACTCATATACACGCTTTTTGACTTGAAATTTTCAAAAGCATACGCTAAAATGAAAGCTACCATGTCAATATGCAACTGCGATCCACTGTACCAAGTTTGGCAATAAAAATGTTAAAACCCCACCCAACACTGTTAATTTCCATGTACGTCAAATCAATTGTTGTAGCGAAGTAAAAATATTGACTTGTCAAAAAATAAAATGGCTTCTTGCCATCTTCAGTGAAATTAAACTATTAATTTTTTCAAAGCCTATATGGATAAAATTTAAAAAAAGATATATTTTTATAGTTTAAATATTTGTAAATCTTACGGCAATGTCCAACATCAGCTTAAGAAACCAAAATAATAAAACTGCATTAAAAAGGAATCAAGAACTTCCTTATTCTCAAGTTCATTCTTGGATGAATGGTAAACTTTCAAATTTAAAAAAAAAATTTATACATATGTATATAAATGTACTAAAAGTATCACGAAATTTATTAAAGTACTTAATATGGTTTAAAAAATTGAAATTACAGTGGAAACTCTGAACAGTACTAATGGTGGACTGCTTTTGTCCCCCCCTCATAACTCGTTACATCAAAGAGATTCTTCAAACAATATGCAAATAACGCAACCGAACAGTGCACCATCTTCACCACTGGCTTCGCCAGGTGCTATTAGTATTTCACCAGCTAGTTTTTGCATGCAATCTAGTGGATCATCAAGTACTGTAGATACAGCCGATCCTAACTGGCAAGCCACAAAAGCTACAGTTTTAGAGAGAAATGCAGCCATGTTTAACAATGAATTAATGTCAGATATTAAATTCGTTGTTGGTTCCGATGGTAAAGTTTGAAAATATGAAACATATTAATTCTAGATCTTATTTGAATGTTATTTTCATAGACAATATACAGACTATTCCAGCACATAAATACATATTGGCGACTGGCAGTTCAGTGTTTTATGCGATGTTTTACGGTGGTTTAGCTGAAAATAAATCTGAAATAAAAGTTCCAGATGTTGAGCCATCTGCGTTTTTAACTTTGCTGAAGTAAGCGTAATTCAAACATACCCTAAATTTAAGAAATTCTCGATTAGTAAAACATTAATTTAGGAAATGCATTTTGACTAATTACTATTTACTTTTAGATATTTATACTGTGATGAAATTCAACTAGAGCCAGACAACATATTGGCGACTTTGTATGCGGCAAAAAAATACATTGTTCCAATCTTAGCTCGAGCATGTGTTAATTATTTAGAAGTAAGTTTGACGGCAAAAAACGCCTGTCTACTTCTCAGTCAATCTCGCCTTTTCGAGGAGCCAGAATTGATGCAAAGATGCTGGGAAGTAATAGATGCACAGGTACCTTCAGAATAAAGTTATTTTAAAATTAGTTTTAAAAATCTAAATTTAACAAAATAAACTAAAGCTGCAATATTTTACGTTTTTTATAAAAATTAGTATAAATAAAATTTACGTAAAAGTGTCATATCATAAAAATATCAAAGCCAAATAATACTACGTATTCATAAAGCAATCAAAAAAATTAATTAATGAAAATAGCAGTTACAATCACTTTTTTTTTCTTCAAAACAAGATGTTTTTATGTAATTTTCGTATTTAGGTAAAATAAATTAATCTTCTGAAAAAAAGAAATATTGCAGTTTTAATTACCTGCTTTGAAAAAACTTTTTTTTATATTGAACTTATATTTTATTTAAATAGGCAGAAATGGCGATTAAATCTGAAGGCTTCGTTGATATTGATTTGAAGACTTTTGAATCGATTTTATCACGTGAAACGTTGAATTGTAAGGAAATTCATTTATTTGAAGCGGCGTTAAATTGGGCACATAATGCTTGCCAAAAGATGGAAATAGATCCAACAGCTCAAAACAAACGTAGTGTTCTTGGTTCTGCTTTGCATTTAATACGTATACCAACAATGACCCTAGAAGAATTCGCTAACGGTGTTGCTCAAACCGGAATTTTAACGTCACAAGAGACAATTGATATCTTTCTCAACTTTACAGCTAAAAATAAACCACAATTAAATTTCGCTACAAAACCTAGAGCCGGACTTAAAACACAAGTGTGTCATCGTTTTCAATCATGTGCTTATCGTAGCAATCAATGGCGTTATCGAGGACGCTGCGATTCTATACAATTTTCTGTTGACCGTCGAATTTTTATTGTTGGTTTCGGTTTATATGGCTCATCAACTGGAGCTGCTGATTATAATGTTAAAATTGAACTAAAACGTTTAGGTCGAATTTTAGCTGAAAATGATACAAAATTCTTTTCAGATGGTTCTAGTAATACTTTTCATGTATTTTTCGAGAATCCCATACAAATCGAACCTGATTGTAACTATACCGCATCTGTTATACTAGACGGTAATGAATTAAGCTTCTTTGGACAGGAAGGTATGTCAGAAGTTTGTATGGGTAAAGTTAATTTTCAATTTCAATGCAGGTAACATTATTTTTATATGTACATATTTTAATTACGATATAATTCTCTTATATTTATATTTTAGCTCTGAGAGCACTAATGGCACTGGTGTTCAAGGTGGCCAAATACCTGAGTTGATATTTTATGGGCCAACAAATATTTCAAATGATTGTAATAGTCCAATAAATTCACACTGTACATCACCATTAATTGTTGGCAATGGTGTTGGCGGTAGCAATGGAAATGGTGTAGGTACTGTTTCTGCAGGCAATTGTGATGAAGTAAGCAATCTTTAGAATAAGTAAACTTTTCGTATATGATTGAAAATTATAATTATGTCAAAACGTTTTATCAAGAAAACAAACAAAAGAAAATGTGTGATATTGATCAAACCAAATATGTATATATATAAAACAGAAATCATTTTTATTTTAAATAAAAATTTTTAAAGTGAAAAGGACGAACCAATAATAACACAAATCAATTTACTGCCAAAAAAAGACAGTTTTTTCCTTAAGGAAAGTACTAAGTTGGAAAGAAATCCAAAAGATTTTAAGTCAAAAAAATTTTTCTTAAAGAACTTTTGACATTTTTTATATAGAGTTTATATGGAACAAAAAATTCTTTTCAACTGAGTACTATTTAAAATGAATTAAAAAACTTTAGAACACAGTAAATTGAGTGGTTGGAAAATTATTTTAAATAAACAAAATGAATTATTCTAATAATAATATTTAACAAAATTCGTTTAAAACATAAAAAAAGTAAATACACACATGTATCTGTTTCTGATAAAATTCACACCAAAAATATTATAAATAACATAATAAATATGTGAAGGATTTCTAGAATATCGAAATTTAGAGCGAATCACTTAAAAAAATTTTAAAAAGATTTCCAGAAAATTTTCCATAAATATACTCAGTTTTTAAAAGAATCTTTTTGATCTCTTGTATTTAGGAAAACAAGAGTTTAACAGAATAAGAGTATTTTAGATTGTATGCATACGCATATATGTGTATTTCTAAAAAGCTCAGGCTTTGTTAAATTCTTGAATGTACCCATATGTTTCAAAGTTGTTCGCAATCAATCAAAATGATAGAAAACCTTGAATTTCAGAAGAGAAAATCACTATTTCTTTCAGATCTTCGTAATGGGAAATAATTCTACATAGTAAAAAACCAGTAGAACATACTGTTATGTGCGTTTTAAAATTGAATATAAATATTTTTGATGATTTTTGTTTTTAAATTTTTTAAGCTTAAATTTTTGTTATTCAAAACATTCAAGTTTTTATTAAAAAATAACTTTGCAAAGTTTATGAATAATAATTTTGATTTCTAATGAAATATGTAAACTAGTACTAGTTCATATTAACATACATACAACAGTACTGTTATTATTTTGCACGCTTTTATACAGTAGCGTGCAAAATAATAACAGTATGCTTAAAAGTGCTGGGTTGAAAAATTTTAATTCGATTAAAAATTACATGTTCAGTAGTATACATTTTTAATTTTATACTAATAATTTCATTTTGATATAACAAAAAAAACTTAAAATATTTCAGTCTTACAACAATAGTTTCATAAAAATTGAAAAATTTAGTTTGAAAAAATTTTGGGTACTGCCGTTAATTTCCACGTAGTCATATATATATATCTATATAAAACAATGTATAGAAATCGAACACACATAATATAATGTAGATATGCATGTTTTATTTTAATATCTTCAAATCACTCAAAACGTCTTTCAATTTCGTAATAAGATAATATATTTAATATAAATGAGTATGTATATCACAATATTAAATTAAATTTATCAATATAGGTACATATATATATATACATATATACATATATATTAATATATATATATATATATACATATATATTAATAATACATATATACATATATATTATATATATATATATATATATATATATATATATATATATATATATATATATATATATATATATATATATATATATATTAATATATATGTATATATGTTAATATATATGTATATTATATATATATATATATATATATATATATAATATATATGTATATGGTATATACAAAAATATTTATATATTTATTTATATATATACATTTATATACATATATATATATTTATATATATTTAACTTGTAGGATTGCTTTTTTTTATATTCATTATATTAGGAAACTTAATATTGCACATATCTTGATTTTCTAATTGAAAAATACAGTATTCATACACAATTTAAATTATGAGCTGAATTTCATATAAATACCGAATTACTGCATTTTGGAAGTCAAGAATGTATCGAATTTTTCAAAAAATTAATTAAGAATATTTTACATTACTATATAATTACAAATACAATATTTTCTATTTACTCTGCCAATGTTCATAAATTTAAGTTGGCGCTTGTTCATGAATTACAACAAAATGAATTTTTCTTATAAAAAAAATTATACAAACCCATAATTAAAATGTTTATAGTATATTTTAATTAAAAATATAATATAAAATTGTTTGAATTTGTTTTTAAAACATATGCATTTTTAAACTTTTGCTTTCTGTAAAAGGCAGCTTACATGTAACCACTTTCTATTTTACAAATGCTTACACATAGTACATGTATTTCTGAAAAGGCTTAGATTGCAAAAAAAAAGTTATAACGAAAATAATAATTTTTGGCGACCTTCTTTTATCAGATATATTGAAACATATTTTTTTTTTAGAAATATTTAAAACATTCATTATTTATAGTTTAAATTTATGCCATATTTATCTATTAGGCCAACAACCTAAAGTACATTCTTACTGATTTTTGTTTTTGGTAATTTTAAATTTCATACTTTCTTTAAGAAATGAATACCTCGATACTTATTTCTGTAAGAAATTAGTGGTTTACTGTAACTATCTATTAAGGAAATAATAATACTGAACTAAATATGATAATTATTAAGAAATAAATACAATTTTTTGAGAAGAAAAATAATTTTTTATTTCTCATGCAATTCTTAAGAAATTTTTTGTATTTTTTATATAAATTTCATATGGAATAAAAAATTTCTCTATTGCGTTCAAATTTGTAATTAATTTTTTTTTTTTTAAATGTATGTTTCTAGCGAACTGAACTTTAAATATTCAAACAATCTGTACAATATAATCAGCATTCCTAAAAATATTAGTCAATTTTCATTAGAAAAGTAATATCTCTGTGATTTCATACAAATTTAAAAATTATTTCTAATTTACTCTCTAAATTTATTAGCCTAATTGATATATTTGGCATTAATACAAAACCATAAATCTCTGAAGTATTAATAAAAACGGAACATTTTTTAAAAACTAAATCAAATAAACTTCATGTTTTTTATTTTTACGTTATATAAAATAAACTATGATAGGCTAAATAATATTAGTTATATTGTTATAAAAAAACATGTAATGCGCTCGAAAATTCTAAAATAAAAATACAAAACCAATATAAAAGTTTATTTATAAAGAGTTAAGAATTATACACGATCAGTAAAAACGTAAAATTTAACAAAAAAAATAATTATATTACATAAAAATCAAAATGTTATAAAAATTTCTTTATAATTTTTCTATCAAAAAAAAATTTAAAATTTTAGAAATTGTTGCAAATTTTGTGAGATATAGTACATAAATATATTTTTTAATATTATATGAATAAATAAAATTATTGAAATAACATACACAATTGAATTGAAGAATACATTTAATTTTAATAGTAATCAGTAAATTTATGTGCTGAAAAAAAATAAAAGAAAAATAACTAATACGTATTAAAATATTTACTAAGGGAAAATTTATGCAACGATTTAATTGGCTTCAAGAAAAACAAATTAAAAACATAATTATTAAACGTAAGCAAAGTCAAATTCAATGTTATAGCGTTATAATATGTAGAATTATGAAGGATTTATTTTTATTTGGAATATAAACAAAATTTTAATTAATCAGTTAACCTGTTTAACATACATATTTATCAAGCCCTAAGCGTAATGTGTTTATAATACTATTATAACAGAACATAAAACAAAGAAAACAAGGGAAGAAAACAGTTATAAGTTATCTTTAATGCGATGACTAATAAAAGCATGTTGAGGACATTCGTTTCTTTAACTAAATTAAAATGAAACCATTATGTATCAATTTTCCCAAAATTATTGCCGTATAAATATTTACATATGTAAGTAAATTGTAAAATACAATACGAATTGTAAATTTTCATGTTAAAAATTTAATTGAAAATAAAAAAAAAACAAACAAAAACATATATTATGGGTCTTCACGGACTGATGTAAAATTTCGATTATCGATGTATCAGAGCAAGACTTTGAATTGCTACAACAATAATTTGCGTATATTAAAAATTTCCTTCACAAGTGCATATTTGCTTCACAGGGAAATAGTGTAAAATATTAGTTAGATCCGCGAACAAAATTTGAAAAATTCAATTTGATTTTTATTTTGTATATTAATTGTTAATTTCTGAAATAAAAAATTAAAAAGAAAATGAAAAAAGTTTATGATGACAGTAATTATAGATTATATTATAATAATAATTTTCTATTATATCTTGTAATTTTCTATTATTGTTATATGTTAACATGTTATATTAACATATAACAGTCATTCTAACCAACTTTTTAGGAAACGAAAAAAAAAATATTTTATTTTATATTTTATATGAAAAATTATCTCGCTTTTTTTTAATTAGTAAATTTAAAATATTAAAGTTTTTTTATATTTATTTATGTTATTTTACTGAAAAATGACTTACATATGTTGTTTTAGAATAACAATTCCAATGACTTACGTCTTATAAGAATTTAAATTTTCTTAGAAAATAATTAATTTTTTAAACAGTATCATTAATTTTTGGTTCTGAAATATTAAAATTGTAAATTAAAGAATATATTAAATAAGTTACTTGATCTATTCAAATATTAATAGAAATAATAAATTATTTGTAGCTACTTCTTACTGTAGTAGAAACTTTTATCGTATTACGGCTACTGAATTTTTTTCACACACAACAGTTTGCGACCCAAACTGATTTACGCAAAATTAGAACAAAAATTCTTCGTAAATTTTATATTGCTATTACTGAGTAACTCATTTTATTTTTTGTTTTTATTCTTTCAATGTATTCTGACACTTTCTTGAATACTTCAGCAGTAGAATCATATAGTTAATCATAATCTAGTTAAAATGTAACAACATTCACCTCAAATATTTCGAATTTTGCTCTAAAAATCAAATAGTTCACTTAGTTGCATCTTTTAATATTCCCTTACAAATGCGCAAAATTCGAATGATTTTTGGTTGCTTTGATTTACGATTTATTTGAAAAGTTGAGTTTTAGTGAGAATCTAAAAGTTAAGTTTTGTTTCTTTTATACTTGAAAAATCATGTTTTTGTAATTGAAATACATGTATTTTATTTCTTTTACACATATTAAAAATATCTCATTTTAGTAAAAAATGACTAACTCACTATTAGATTAAAGTTTCGTTATTTTTTCCAATAATATATTAGATATTTTCAAACAGATTTTCTCAAATATTTTAGAATGATACCAAATAAAAAATATACTTGTGGTTGTCAATTTGTTGCAATTTTACATCGAAAATTTTCCTTAGATCGTGCTTGGAGGAAAATAACTATTTTTCTTTTTTTTGCACTGGTACATCAATCTGTGAAAACCGCTATTTTGTATTTTTTAGAAAATTAGTAGAAAATATTTCTATTTCTTTGAACAAACGCTAAAAAAATATTAACCCTGATTAAATTATTTTCCTGTACTACAAAAATAATGTAAAACATTAAATTTCTTTCCTCTTACGATATTTTTATTTCAATATAATGGTAAAATTCAAATTATTTTAATAACAATACTTTTTTTACTAGTATGTAGTTAATTATAAATGTCATGGTGTTTAGAAAGTTTTCTTAAAGACTAATTTGAATTTTTTAGTAGTTTTAATATCATTGATTTAATTAATTTTAACAAATTATACATAATTGAGCTAAAACATTTTAAATTCAAGACATTATCTTTTTTTTTTAAGTTTAAATTTTTAAATAATGTTAGTCATTAATATTAGTATATTTAAATTTATTCTTCTAATTACATACATACATACATATAAAAAAAAATAAAATATAAAAAAATTCAAATGAAAAAAAAATTCATTGTTTTATTATTACACAAATTAAATAAATAAATAAATATTTTAACATTAAAATAATTAATATAATTTTTGACAACTTCAGAAATAATTTTATATTTATGCTGTCTTTAGGTATTTTATTGTTTCAAAATTATCAGGCAGGGTGGTATACATGGTTGGTATGTACATACATATATAGTTTCATCAATTTTATAATACACTATATGAATTATATTATGGAATTTGAAGAGGCCTATGGAATTATTGTGCTGCATTTTCCTTTCGTCTGAGTGATGAAATAAATTGTATTTTAAAGAATAGCAAAATATGTATATATATTTAATGTAAAGTTGCGTTCAAAATCACATTAACATTCAAAACCGTCAAAACTAGATTCATAGTGATCGAGAACACATTTTGTATTTTTATTGTTATAAACCTTTTTGGTATCATTTAAGAACATAAATATATTGTCTGTTTAGATTGTTGAGGTCCATAAGTTATTACTTTTCGAGAAATTTTCCCAACCAAATATGTAAAGCTTCCCAACTTTTCTTCCTATAAAACTTTTGAAAATATGTATTTTTTAAAATATCTTCAAAAATACAAGAAGAATCTTTACTAAATCACATTTCTGTATTTCAATAACTTGCAAGTTTTAAATATCCTTCCTCTTGAGATAATTTGTTTTATATACAGATGCTTTTTATTTCAATGACTAAATAAAATTTTAACGTGTTTGGCAAGTTTTATCCAACAACTGCGAGTTTTTTAATAATTTTAATATGATTGATTTAATTTGTTGAACATAAATTGCACAAAAACATTCTAAATGCAAGGCATCTTTTCTCTCTTAAGAAGAGACTTTTGAGTATAAGTATATTTAGATTTAGTCTTTTAGATGCACATTAATATATGTATATAAAATAATAAAATAAAGAAAAATGTTAAAGAAATAAAATTCAATGTTTAATTATCACACAAATAAAATAAATATTTTTACATTGCCGTATTAAGTGTAATATGTAATACATATGTATATGTTTTCAAAAAAAAAAAAATTGTTTAGAAAAAGCTGCCCTAAGAAATTTTAGAATTTTTATGATTTAAATTTTATAGCAGAACATAATCAAAAATATGAATAAAGGAAATTTTTATTGCAGAGAATGTCTGTTAAGAGTTTTAAATAAACATGTATTTACAGACCGAATACATAATAATAATAAATGAACGATATTTACAGACCGTTTTCATTAAAAAACAAAAAAAAACTAATAAAGTTTTTTTAATATTTTCAACAAATAAATCATGCTTTTTCTTGCTTATTTTCTTAATAATTATCCTCATCATATCCATAATAATCATCATCATCACCTTTATTTAGCATATCTTTAAGTGAAGAATACTCATTATCAGTTTGTTCATATTGTTCTGCCTCTGGTTCGTCTATTTCCTCATCAACTAGATCATCTATAAATAAAATCAAAATATAAAATTTTATAGATTTGTATTAATTTTTAAAAATTTCAAATTACCGTTGTTTTCTATAATTAGGGGTTCATTTGCATTTGTTTGTGCAACTGCATTTTCAACCACTGGTAAACCAAATTCTAATTTTTCTCTTTTTGATATTCCTTTAGGGACAGCAACTGTAGTTAACAAAGTTCCATTGATAGTTTCTGCTTTTTGTATTATCGCTTCCTCAATTTTTGGATGAGCAATATCAGTTTTTTCTTCTGCATTATTGTTAGTTTTTGGGGCTGTTAATGCTTTTAAAATATCATAATTTATTTTAGTAGAAATTTTTTTTTCTTGCAACATTTTTTCTATTGCTTCTCCGGCAGTATTAGATGGACCAATTTTTTTTCTCGGTTTTCTTTTCTTTTTTTCCGGTTTTCCCTCCTCACGTTCTCTCGCTAATTTTTCCTCTTTTGTTTTTAAACTTTGCAAGTATTCTGCATTTAAATTTTCCCATAATATCGTCTTGTAATCAGCTTCCTTTTCAGTCATAATATAACCATCAATTTCCTCGTCGTCTAAACCTTCCAAGTTTAGCTCGCCATCATTTGTATTAATAATTTCAGTTAAACTTTCTGATTTGTTACTCTCAATTTGAGATATTTCGCTCAATGTAGGTGTGCACATTTTCAGTATATCCGGTTTTAAACCTTCCAAGTTTGTTTTCGAAGTTTCAATCTCATTCATCCCAGAATAATCAGCTAAACATTTTTCTATTACATTCATATTAGATTCCGCAATAAATTTAGTCGCATCATCTTCTTCGAAGCATTCAGCTGGAATATTTTTAAAGCGACTTCTATGAAGTTTTTTTAAATCTTTTTCTAATTGTGCATCAATTTCTTTTTGCAGTTCCGTTAACTCATTTTCACCCATCTACATAAATCGAAAAATTAAAAATAGAATATTACAAATAAAAATTAATTGTGCCTTCGATATTCGTTCTCGATCCTTTTTCCTTGCGGCTTTAAAAGCTGGTGGATCTTGTTCAGCTTCCAAATCTACAGCCATAAATTCGTCTAATGTCAAAGCGCTACTCGGAGTTTCAGCAAACTCAGTTAATCTTTTCCGTAAAGTGGACTCATGTATTTTTACAATTTTAACAATATCTCCTATACTTCTGCCGAAATCGTGCATCCTTGCAGCAATAAGCAATGCTGTAAAACTTTTTTTATATTCTTTTTAAATGGAGAATGAAAACTAACAGACCTGCTCCGCATAAACCTGTAGGTCTCCTTCCCGAATGTATTGAATCTTTTTTCATTCTTTGAACAATTCTAAGGGCAGTACATCAATCTGTGAAAACCGCTATTTTGTATTTTTTAGAAAATTAGTAGAAAATATTTCTATTTCTTTGAACAAACGCTAAAAAAATATTAACCCTGATTAAATTATTTTCCTGTACTACAAAAATAATGTAAAACATTAAATTTCTTTCCTCTTACGATATTTTTATTTCAATATAATGGTAAAATTCAAATTATTTTAATAACAATACTTTTTTTACTAGTATGTAGTTAATTATAAATGTCATGGTGTTTAGAAAGTTTTCTTAAAGACTAATTTGAATTTTTTAGTAGTTTTAATATCATTGATTTAATTAATTTTAACAAATTATACATAATTGAGCTAAAACATTTTAAATTCAAGACATTATCTTTTTTTTTTAAGTTTAAATTTTTAAATAATGTTAGTCATTAATATTAGTATATTTAAATTTATTCTTCTAATTACATACATACATACATATAAAAAAAAATAAAATATAAAAAAATTCAAATGAAAAAAAAATTCATTGTTTTATTATTACACAAATTAAATAAATAAATAAATATTTTAACATTAAAATAATTAATATAATTTTTGACAACTTCAGAAATAATTTTATATTTATGCTGTCTTTAGGTATTTTATTGTTTCAAAATTATCAGGCAGGGTGGTATACATGGTTGGTATGTACATACATATATAGTTTCATCAATTTTATAATACACTATATGAATTATATTATGGAATTTGAAGAGGCCTATGGAATTATTGTGCTGCATTTTCCTTTCGTCTGAGTGATGAAATAAATTGTATTTTAAAGAATAGCAAAATATGTATATATATTTAATGTAAAGTTGCGTTCAAAATCACATTAACATTCAAAACCGTCAAAACTAGATTCATAGTGATCGAGAACACATTTTGTATTTTTATTGTTATAAACCTTTTTGGTATCATTTAAGAACATAAATATATTGTCTGTTTAGATTGTTGAGGTCCATAAGTTATTACTTTTCGAGAAATTTTCCCAACCAAATATGTAAAGCTTCCCAACTTTTCTTCCTATAAAACTTTTGAAAATATGTATTTTTTAAAATATCTTCAAAAATACAAGAAGAATCTTTACTAAATCACATTTCTGTATTTCAATAACTTGCAAGTTTTAAATATCCTTCCTCTTGAGATAATTTGTTTTATATACAGATGCTTTTTATTTCAATGACTAAATAAAATTTTAACGTGTTTGGCAAGTTTTATCCAACAACTGCGAGTTTTTTAATAATTTTAATATGATTGATTTAATTTGTTGAACATAAATTGCACAAAAACATTCTAAATGCAAGGCATCTTTTCTCTCTTAAGAAGAGACTTTTGAGTATAAGTATATTTAGATTTAGTCTTTTAGATGCACATTAATATATGTATATAAAATAATAAAATAAAGAAAAATGTTAAAGAAATAAAATTCAATGTTTAATTATCACACAAATAAAATAAATATTTTTACATTGCCGTATTAAGTGTAATATGTAATACATATGTATATGTTTTCAAAAAAAAAAAAATTGTTTAGAAAAAGCTGCCCTAAGAAATTTTAGAATTTTTATGATTTAAATTTTATAGCAGAACATAATCAAAAATATGAATAAAGGAAATTTTTATTGCAGAGAATGTCTGTTAAGAGTTTTAAATAAACATGTATTTACAGACCGAATACATAATAATAATAAATGAACGATATTTACAGACCGTTTTCATTAAAAAACAAAAAAAAACTAATAAAGTTTTTTTAATATTTTCAACAAATAAATCATGCTTTTTCTTGCTTATTTTCTTAATAATTATCCTCATCATATCCATAATAATCATCATCATCACCTTTATTTAGCATATCTTTAAGTGAAGAATACTCATTATCAGTTTGTTCATATTGTTCTGCCTCTGGTTCGTCTATTTCCTCATCAACTAGATCATCTATAAATAAAATCAAAATATAAAATTTTATAGATTTGTATTAATTTTTAAAAATTTCAAATTACCGTTGTTTTCTATAATTAGGGGTTCATTTGCATTTGTTTGTGCAACTGCATTTTCAACCACTGGTAAACCAAATTCTAATTTTTCTCTTTTTGATATTCCTTTAGGGACAGCAACTGTAGTTAACAAAGTTCCATTGATAGTTTCTGCTTTTTGTATTATCGCTTCCTCAATTTTTGGATGAGCAATATCAGTTTTTTCTTCTGCATTATTGTTAGTTTTTGGGGCTGTTAATGCTTTTAAAATATCATAATTTATTTTAGTAGAAATTTTTTTTTCTTGCAACATTTTTTCTATTGCTTCTCCGGCAGTATTAGATGGACCAATTTTTTTTCTCGGTTTTCTTTTCTTTTTTTCCGGTTTTCCCTCCTCACGTTCTCTCGCTAATTTTTCCTCTTTTGTTTTTAAACTTTGCAAGTATTCTGCATTTAAATTTTCCCATAATATCGTCTTGTAATCAGCTTCCTTTTCAGTCATAATATAACCATCAATTTCCTCGTCGTCTAAACCTTCCAAGTTTAGCTCGCCATCATTTGTATTAATAATTTCAGTTAAACTTTCTGATTTGTTACTCTCAATTTGAGATATTTCGCTCAATGTAGGTGTGCACATTTTCAGTATATCCGGTTTTAAACCTTCCAAGTTTGTTTTCGAAGTTTCAATCTCATTCATCCCAGAATAATCAGCTAAACATTTTTCTATTACATTCATATTAGATTCCGCAATAAATTTAGTCGCATCATCTTCTTCGAAGCATTCAGCTGGAATATTTTTAAAGCGACTTCTATGAAGTTTTTTTAAATCTTTTTCTAATTGTGCATCAATTTCTTTTTGCAGTTCCGTTAACTCATTTTCACCCATCTACATAAATCGAAAAATTAAAAATAGAATATTACAAATAAAAATTAATTGTGCCTTCGATATTCGTTCTCGATCCTTTTTCCTTGCGGCTTTAAAAGCTGGTGGATCTTGTTCAGCTTCCAAATCTACAGCCATAAATTCGTCTAATGTCAAAGCGCTACTCGGAGTTTCAGCAAACTCAGTTAATCTTTTCCGTAAAGTGGACTCATGTATTTTTACAATTTTAACAATATCTCCTATACTTCTGCCGAAATCGTGCATCCTTGCAGCAATAAGCAATGCTGTAAAACTTTTTTTATATTCTTTTTAAATGGAGAATGAAAACTAACAGACCTGCTCCGCATAAACCTGTAGGTCTCCTTCCCGAATGTATTGAATCTTTTTTCATTCTTTGAACAATTCTAAGGGCAGTACATCAATCTGTGAAAACCGCTATTTTGTATTTTTTAGAAAATTAGTAGAAAATATTTCTATTTCTTTGAACAAACGCTAAAAAAATATTAACCCTGATTAAATTATTTTCCTGTACTACAAAAATAATGTAAAACATTAAATTTCTTTCCTCTTACGATATTTTTATTTCAATATAATGGTAAAATTCAAATTATTTTAATAACAATACTTTTTTTACTAGTATGTAGTTAATTATAAATGTCATGGTGTTTAGAAAGTTTTCTTAAAGACTAATTTGAATTTTTTAGTAGTTTTAATATCATTGATTTAATTAATTTTAACAAATTATACATAATTGAGCTAAAACATTTTAAATTCAAGACATTATCTTTTTTTTTTAAGTTTAAATTTTTAAATAATGTTAGTCATTAATATTAGTATATTTAAATTTATTCTTCTAATTACATACATACATACATATAAAAAAAAATAAAATATAAAAAAATTCAAATGAAAAAAAAATTCATTGTTTTATTATTACACAAATTAAATAAATAAATAAATATTTTAACATTAAAATAATTAATATAATTTTTGACAACTTCAGAAATAATTTTATATTTATGCTGTCTTTAGGTATTTTATTGTTTCAAAATTATCAGGCAGGGTGGTATACATGGTTGGTATGTACATACATATATAGTTTCATCAATTTTATAATACACTATATGAATTATATTATGGAATTTGAAGAGGCCTATGGAATTATTGTGCTGCATTTTCCTTTCGTCTGAGTGATGAAATAAATTGTATTTTAAAGAATAGCAAAATATGTATATATATTTAATGTAAAGTTGCGTTCAAAATCACATTAACATTCAAAACCGTCAAAACTAGATTCATAGTGATCGAGAACACATTTTGTATTTTTATTGTTATAAACCTTTTTGGTATCATTTAAGAACATAAATATATTGTCTGTTTAGATTGTTGAGGTCCATAAGTTATTACTTTTCGAGAAATTTTCCCAACCAAATATGTAAAGCTTCCCAACTTTTCTTCCTATAAAACTTTTGAAAATATGTATTTTTTAAAATATCTTCAAAAATACAAGAAGAATCTTTACTAAATCACATTTCTGTATTTCAATAACTTGCAAGTTTTAAATATCCTTCCTCTTGAGATAATTTGTTTTATATACAGATGCTTTTTATTTCAATGACTAAATAAAATTTTAACGTGTTTGGCAAGTTTTATCCAACAACTGCGAGTTTTTTAATAATTTTAATATGATTGATTTAATTTGTTGAACATAAATTGCACAAAAACATTCTAAATGCAAGGCATCTTTTCTCTCTTAAGAAGAGACTTTTGAGTATAAGTATATTTAGATTTAGTCTTTTAGATGCACATTAATATATGTATATAAAATAATAAAATAAAGAAAAATGTTAAAGAAATAAAATTCAATGTTTAATTATCACACAAATAAAATAAATATTTTTACATTGCCGTATTAAGTGTAATATGTAATACATATGTATATGTTTTCAAAAAAAAAAAAATTGTTTAGAAAAAGCTGCCCTAAGAAATTTTAGAATTTTTATGATTTAAATTTTATAGCAGAACATAATCAAAAATATGAATAAAGGAAATTTTTATTGCAGAGAATGTCTGTTAAGAGTTTTAAATAAACATGTATTTACAGACCGAATACATAATAATAATAAATGAACGATATTTACAGACCGTTTTCATTAAAAAACAAAAAAAAACTAATAAAGTTTTTTTAATATTTTCAACAAATAAATCATGCTTTTTCTTGCTTATTTTCTTAATAATTATCCTCATCATATCCATAATAATCATCATCATCACCTTTATTTAGCATATCTTTAAGTGAAGAATACTCATTATCAGTTTGTTCATATTGTTCTGCCTCTGGTTCGTCTATTTCCTCATCAACTAGATCATCTATAAATAAAATCAAAATATAAAATTTTATAGATTTGTATTAATTTTTAAAAATTTCAAATTACCGTTGTTTTCTATAATTAGGGGTTCATTTGCATTTGTTTGTGCAACTGCATTTTCAACCACTGGTAAACCAAATTCTAATTTTTCTCTTTTTGATATTCCTTTAGGGACAGCAACTGTAGTTAACAAAGTTCCATTGATAGTTTCTGCTTTTTGTATTATCGCTTCCTCAATTTTTGGATGAGCAATATCAGTTTTTTCTTCTGCATTATTGTTAGTTTTTGGGGCTGTTAATGCTTTTAAAATATCATAATTTATTTTAGTAGAAATTTTTTTTTCTTGCAACATTTTTTCTATTGCTTCTCCGGCAGTATTAGATGGACCAATTTTTTTTCTCGGTTTTCTTTTCTTTTTTTCCGGTTTTCCCTCCTCACGTTCTCTCGCTAATTTTTCCTCTTTTGTTTTTAAACTTTGCAAGTATTCTGCATTTAAATTTTCCCATAATATCGTCTTGTAATCAGCTTCCTTTTCAGTCATAATATAACCATCAATTTCCTCGTCGTCTAAACCTTCCAAGTTTAGCTCGCCATCATTTGTATTAATAATTTCAGTTAAACTTTCTGATTTGTTACTCTCAATTTGAGATATTTCGCTCAATGTAGGTGTGCACATTTTCAGTATATCCGGTTTTAAACCTTCCAAGTTTGTTTTCGAAGTTTCAATCTCATTCATCCCAGAATAATCAGCTAAACATTTTTCTATTACATTCATATTAGATTCCGCAATAAATTTAGTCGCATCATCTTCTTCGAAGCATTCAGCTGGAATATTTTTAAAGCGACTTCTATGAAGTTTTTTTAAATCTTTTTCTAATTGTGCATCAATTTCTTTTTGCAGTTCCGTTAACTCATTTTCACCCATCTACATAAATCGAAAAATTAAAAATAGAATATTACAAATAAAAATTAATTGTGCCTTCGATATTCGTTCTCGATCCTTTTTCCTTGCGGCTTTAAAAGCTGGTGGATCTTGTTCAGCTTCCAAATCTACAGCCATAAATTCGTCTAATGTCAAAGCGCTACTCGGAGTTTCAGCAAACTCAGTTAATCTTTTCCGTAAAGTGGACTCATGTATTTTTACAATTTTAACAATATCTCCTATACTTCTGCCGAAATCGTGCATCCTTGCAGCAATAAGCAATGCTGTAAAACTTTTTTTATATTCTTTTTAAATGGAGAATGAAAACTAACAGACCTGCTCCGCATAAACCTGTAGGTCTCCTTCCCGAATGTATTGAATCTTTTTTCATTCTTTGAACAATTCTAAGGGCAGTCATTGAAACTTCATGCGTTTTGCTTCCGAACTGCAGTTTATTACCAAATCGCATTACGTACAAGCATGGGTCTAGAATCAAGAATGTTTATTATATTTACATAAGCAATGTATTACATGGTACGTCAAATGTTATTACCAACAGATGGAATGTTAATACATAAAGCGTTTGATAACTTAAGATAGGTTCTGCCTAGTTCATAACTGCAAATTTGAAGCACATCACTTATATCTATGAGTAAATCTGAAGAAAAATAATTTCTATTAAGTTATTGTTTTAAGAATTAATATTTCAATTACGTGAAGTTCCTTCTGTTCTGCATGTAATATATACACAGGCAGCATAAATATGACTATTTTTTCTACCTCGGGTCAAATGCCGATTTAAAGCCATTCTAAAAAAATTTAATGCTGTTTCAATGAAATGGTTATTTAATTGCAACTGTTGACAAAGATTTGTAATTCCAATTTTGGCCTTTTTTATTGTAACTTCTCGAGACTCTGTTCCAGACCCTACTTGAAATTTTCCATACCCTGTAGCTCCACCTGCAGAGTCAGATGACACAAATTGTCCGATAGCTGCTGATCCATGCCCGATTTCTTCAAATTGTATTTCGGAAACAATTAAATTATCTTCTAAAACTGAACCACAATTAGTGCAAACAGCATCACCGCGAGCATTATCTTCTTCAATCTCAGTTGAACCACAATTTTTACATTTAACTCCGGATGACATTTCTAATTTAAATTGCTGTAATTTTACCTATTGTAACAACTTTAATTTCTCGAAACTTTATTTGTATGATATTAAATGCGAGATAGTCATGTAATTATTCCTTGTTTTCTTATAAAACTGTCAACAAAATTTTTAACTGTGAAGCTTTTAGTGAGCAGAATATACCGAAAACGGAACATAAATATAAACAGTGTTGGGATATTGGCATTTTTTATGCCAAATTTAACAGCCTCGACCAGATGGCAAAATCGCCGTGTGTGCTGTTTCTGTAAGAATTTTCATAGAACGCGATAGTCATTTTTTTACCTTAATACTTGCATTTAATAGACCAAAAGTCCGATCTCTTTTAGTCTAAAAGTAAATAAAATGAAAAAATCGGCGAAGTTAGTATGTAAAAGTAAAAAAATTCAAAATTAAATTAAAATTTCTTACTATAAAATTCACTCTATTAATTTTTATTTTGATAATTGGGGTTTTTGTATTTTATAGAAGGAAAAAGATAACAAATGCGAAGCAATTTAAGTTTCTGATAAAATTAATGGAAGACAATCCCGAGATTACAAAAAGTTTTAATTTTTCTACTATGTAAAAAGTACTACGTCGCAATGCGAATAGTCCTGCTATGTAAAAATGCGAATGTCGCAAATTTGCGTAAGTTGATACTCTGTAACTGGAAGTAAATTTGAAATGCGAGGTTTTTTTAATTTAATAAAGCAAAATAAATGTAACATTTATAATGTTTACTTATATTTTTTCGAAAAATTAGACTTTCGCAATAAAATTCGTAAACAAAATGGCAAGTGAATGAAAAGTGTGCAAAAGTGGCATTCTGTAATCCCACTTTTGCTACTTTCACATTCGATTTGATGCGATATTCGATTTGCATAGTGTCGAAATTTAAAATGCGAGAATCGTTTAGCGAAAGTAAGACTACGTAGTAGGCCACTTGAAGTAGAATTAAAAAACTATTTTTCGAAATCCTGGAATACTTCAGAAATATAAAAAGCTTAATTTTTTATTTTAATATTTTACGTAGAGGCAAAATTTCTTTAAAATAATGTAGGAAGTTGCAAGGGATTCAAAAATCGTTAACTATATTAAAATTAAAACTTTCTTTGTTTTTGTTGTTCTACATTATAATTACTTTATCTAAATATTTCTCACATTAAAAATTTGTTCCTCCGCGAAACATTTACCTTATTAGAAAAATAAAGAATATTGCTTAATATTTTTACTCGTCATAATACTGAATTTTTGAACGGGAAACATTATTTTAGCTTCAAAGTATTTTACGGTAAGAGAAATTTTCAATTTTGGACGAAAACCTTTTTGTGTGCTACAGTTCATGCTTCATCCGTCTATTATGGGTATTATAGTTTTAATAGATACGGCAACACCATTTACGAGTAATTGCAGTTGTTATTTGGCATAAAGATATGCATATGTTTATAAATATATATATATTCATATAGTGTTTGTTATCTGATACATGTTCATTTCATGTTGTTATCTGTTTTCTGCAACTAAAAAAGTCTTACCAAGTCACTTGAAAGTATATTGTAAAACTATTTAGAGAACAACAAACATAACGAACGTCAATTTTTTGTAAAAAATTTCGTATATTGTACAAAATAATAGCATAATATAGCATAATATAGTGTATACATATATTATTATTTCACTTCTTTTAGTAATGAAAAATTTAATTGTGGAACAGCTTTCTAAATAATTGTAGTTAAGTTATTTTTTTAAATTATTGGATAATCAGCTTCAAGACCTATTACATATTTTAAAGTAATCGAGTTCGTTCGTTGTTATTTACTTATGTGAAGGTTTATTAAACGTTTTATATTATTTTGTGTTTGTAATATATTTAATTTTTTGAGGAAGCTACAAAGTATTATAAATAAGTAAAAAAAACCCTTAATAGTCAATTTTGAAATTTAATTTAGCAAAGTTTAAAATTTGCCTGACATAGTAAAAAATAATAAGTTTAAATCCATGTAAAAGAGAAATTTTTTTACCATCATTTGGCAATACCGTATACTGGACAGATGAGTTTTTGACTTTTTGCAGAAGACAAAATAATTTGAAAGAGTGTAATATATTACGGAAAAATATCGTCATATAATTAATTCTAATAAAAGTACTCCATATCATTTTGTTAGAAAATCTTACAACTGTTGTAAAATAAATGAAAAAGTGAACTATTTTAAAATTTTTAATTTTTGTGTCTCGATTTCGAAGACTGATAAAATGACGTGTCGTGTCATATGTTATTGAAATTAATATTTTTAAGGACACTCAAATGCAAGCAAACTTAATGAGACGACGGGAGAAGTAGTAAAATTTTTTAATTTATTGCAATAACTACAAATAAAAATATAAATACGAAACAAATATGTCTACCTCAATATTAGATGTGATCGGTCATTATCAACGTAGTATTGAAAGAGCACAGAAGCAGAATAATCCCCTTAATGAAAGTAAAACAGCAAAATTTTTGCATTGCATTGAAAAGTTGAGCAAGCTACCAGTGAAAGTAGAGCACTTACAAGCAACGGGAATCGGTAAGACTGTTAACTCCTTAAGGAAGTATGAAGGTGAAGTTGGTGTTGCTGCTAAGGCCTTAGTAGCAAAATGGAAAGCTGTAGTCACAGCCGAAGAATTCGCAAAAGAACAAGCGGCACGAAATAGAGAGCACAGAGATGATGATAATAATGATGGAGGAACGGGAAGTGGGAGTTGTAATAATATAGATCCTAATGGAAATGTGTCTACAAATAGTAATAACGGTTATAGTAATGAAAGAGAAACTACGCAACATTATCAATATAACAGTAATTATGCTGATAAACAGCAAACAACGAAACAAAATTCAGCTGAGAATATTTATTATCAAAATCAGAAATTTGAGGATAAGAATAAACATTCTGTTAACTATGAAGTGCACGCAACGATTAGTGCCCCAATTATAAGACCATCGGCTCCTATTGACCCCAATTATGTTCATACCATTGACGATGATGATGATGATGATGACAATGATGTGCAGTTAATCATAGATGAAAATGTAAATAATCACATCAAAGCCTCACCTCAGTTAATTTGTAATACTGGTGTCGAAATAAAGTCTGATAAATACGGTAAGAGAAATTTAGTAATATATGATTTATGGGTGATAAATAAGTTGCTTACCATTTTATTAAAAAAACTTCAAAAACTTAAAAACCATTTAAGAAATATTCTTGGATATTTTCAACAATTCAGATGCACTTAAAATTCCAACAGAATATCTTAAAAAAAAATTTCTTTTATCATCACAGGTCTACAGCATAAAAAAAATATTTAAAAATGCTTTAGAAATGTTAGCGTTTATATCTACATTTACAAAAGCATAGTTTCGAATGTTCTTCTTTTGTATTAAAGAAGTTTCGAACTTAAGTTCTAAGTAAAAACTGAATTTTACAAAATTCCTCTTTTTGTTTTAGTTTCAGAATTTATATATTGTAGACTTCAAATGAATAAATCTATAAATGTTAATAATATCTTCTTGTGAAGTAGAAACGTTACTATCGGAAAATTAGGTTTTGATATTTAAATATGGAGTTCTAAAACTATTTAGAAATTAACATATCTTTGTATATATTAAAATGGTTACTTATCGTTAATAAATTAATAATTTTTTCAATGTTAATTTGAGAAACTTTTGTTTAAAATTATTTTATTCAAGTTAAATAACATAATTTGTTTCAACATTCATTAATCTACTTAGGGTTTATTGTCATTAGCACACATTTTTCAGTTTATTGTTAAAAATGTTTTATCATCTAAGTGACAAGAGTCAATACCTTTTCTGCATAAAATAAATTTATTTTTTTTAATATATCATAAAAATTGAACACTTATTTCTTTTGTCATTTACTTATAAATGATTGTAGGTAACGAAGTTAAGGAAGTGTCTAAACATCGTGATCAAAAGTCAAAAAAAGACAAGCATCAAAAACGCCATAGCTCAGAGCGTAAACAAGAATATGAACATCAAAAAACTAGCTCTACTCATTCTCCAAATTTTAAATTACCAGATTCAAATAAAAATTCGAATCACATAAAAAGTCAAAATGAAACTATGGTTTATGATTATGAACCACCTTCTGCAGCTGAAGTTTGTCAGGAAGATATGTATAGTGATCGAATGATTTATAATAACTCAATTAGTGATAATTTAGTAAATGACATTAACACTTCTAGTATTCAAAACGTTGAACACAAAAGTGATAAGCATCACAAAACTTCACATACTGAAAGTGAACACAGTAGCAAGAAAAAGAAAAGTAAAAAGCATAAGGAAAAAAAATCAAAATCGAAGCATCACGATAATAATGATGATTTTAATAGACAGAGTGATTCTAAACATGGAAAAAAACACAAAGACAAAGATAAATTATCAAAAGATAAATCATCAAAGCATAAAAAATCTAAGGATATAGGAGTAAAAGAGTTTAGTAAGCTAGACGAAGAAACTGAGAATGAAAAGTTAATTCAAATTTCCAACGAAGATACTTTCAATGATCCCAATCCACCACATTTTGTCGATTATAATGCTGAAGTTACTTCCACGACTATGACACCGAATAAAATAAAAAAGTCTAAAAATGAAACATTAAACGATAACGGTATTGATAGTACAACCGGAGCAAGTTTTGAGCAAGCTCTGGGAATGATGGAAATGCCAAATAAGAAAGCAAAATATCAAAATAAAAGCCAAAATGAAACTTCGATTGTTTCAAATTATCAGGAGCCTACTACAATATCTAAAAAACGTTTGAGTCGTGATGAACCTAGTGGAAGTGGTATTGTAAGCAAAAAACAAAAAGTTTCTACGTCACAATCTGTTTCAAATAGCGATAGTGAAAGTAGTACTGAAATGGAAAACTTCAAATCAGCAACTCCTTTGCTTTTGTCGTCTAGTGCTAATTTAAAACCACTTGATCCAAGCATTGCCTTAGAATTACCAACCATATCGAATAATTACAAACCAATGCCATTAAATCCAACTGTTATGGATTGTGTATTCCCTCAGTCAAAACCACAAAGATTATTTACCGATGAAGAGGCACTAGCTCATGGTATATCTTCTAAAACTATAAGAACCAAAGTATATTCCGGTGCGAAAATTGGCCAAAAAGTTCAAATTCCAACATTATTTAATTTATGTATACGTTGCTTACAAAAAAATATTGATGCTCTTGAATATACTGGAGGTGTACCATTTGATATTCTTAGACCAGTTTTAGAAAGAGCAACGCCAGAACAGTTATCTCAATTTGAAGAATTCAATCCATACCTAATGCATGATACAGATGTGTTGTGGGAACAACACGTTAAACGCCGTTTCCGCTCGTATAAACGTGAAGAAATGGAGTCTTTTCGTGAAATGTACATACGTTGTAAGGAATTGCAAGATGCTCATTTAAACAGACTTACTGAAAACATAAAACAATCACAAATACAAACTAATATACCACTACGTAAAACTCAATTAGCTTATGTAGATTCATTGGTAAAACCACCAAGGTACGTCAAAAAGAAGCAAGAAAAATTTGGAACTAATACTAAATTAGTGGCAACACCAGCTGCTCGAGTTGCCGCGCTGCAGGCTATAACACCGAATGCAACAAAAAGTGGTGATGTTAGATTAAGAGTTGCTGCTGGTACAAGGGATAACGCTCAAGTTACATCTGCCCCGAAAGCTAGAAAAGCGCCTTTAATGGCTAAAACACTTCAGTTTATGAAAGGTCGGATAAGACGATAAATAAGAAACAAAGAGAGTGAGAAAGATGAAAAAAGGATTTCTTGCAAAATTGTTTTTTCGAAATATTTATATATATACATGCGTATAAGAAATAGAATTGTAGAATATAAGACCTGCGCTTTGTTTTAATGATTTTTTTTAGAAAATTTTGTTTTTTAATGTAATTAAGAAAACAAGGAAACATTATTGTAATAAAATATCAGTAACTTGATTTTTTCTAATATATTATATATTGCTTTGAGTTCTGAAGTAATATTTGAGTTAATGAATACTCAGATTATATTGATACGTAGTGTCTCAATCATACACAAGACATAAAATTACCAAATTGTTTTATAAAATGTAATTAATGAAATTTTACAAATTACATACATATATACATGTACGAAAGAATATCGTATGTGATCGCTATTTATTAAATTGTGAGTGGCAGAGTTTGTTTAAATTTTTGTATAAATGGCATTAGGCACCATTTACGTTTTAAATTTATTTATTTTTTTTATTGAGTTTGCTCTATCAAAAAATGAAAGGACAATTCTTGAACATACATACATAATATGTAAAATGATATTTTATTTCGATGGAAGGTTTTTAACAGCGTTGATAAAACACTTCCAGAATAAAGTTACTGAATTTAAATAGTTTTCTTTTTCAATTAAAACTTGAAAAATTGTGAAAGAGGAAAAGAAGTTTTTATTGTGTTAAATTATCAAATAATATATTATACAACAAGAAAAAAGCATTGTATAAAATATATGTATATATTTTCTACACACAAATAAAAAGCATTTCGCAAAAGACGTTGTAGTAAGAATCATTAAAATTTTTTTGTCGTATGTTCTAAATTTAACTATAAATTTTAAGTGACAAACCAATAGACAATTATTTAAAATTTGAAACTATACAAATTATTGAAGTTTTTTGTATATTAAAATTTAAGTATGTATTTTTATTTAAGTTATTGCTTAAAAAATTGAAATTATTATAAAATTGTAACAAAATATGAGTAGTGAAATTAAGTAGAAAACTTATACTAAATTTTACATACAGCTACATAAATTAAGCAGATGTTGCATAATAATTTAATCAATTGATATTTATGCTAACACTACGAATCATTAAATAGATGTTTCAGAATCTGTTAAATTATTAAAACTTAATAATGGTTATAATTTTATTAATAATTACTGATTTTAAGTAAAGGAGAAAATTTTCCTTGAGATAAAAAAAAAACAAAATAGTAAAAGTGTAAGAACTTTTAAAATTAATAAAATTATTTTAATGCAAATATGTAGAGAAAAGATTCAAAAATTATATTTAGTAGAAAATACAAACTTTATCATTTATATCAAACATTTTGCATGCTTTGCTATGAAAAAACAAAATTTGGAAAGTTGAAAAGTTAAATTTTAAAAATTAGTTATTTTGTAATTACAAAAAGTCGTATTTAATGACAATTGATTTTAAACGAAGCTTTTGAATATCACGCTACGTTATTAAGGATGCATTAATTACAATGCATGAAAAATGAATGAATATTTTGTGATTATTTTGGTTTTATATTATTTTTATTATTTTTTTAATATCATATCATAATATTTACGAAAATATACCTGTAGGAAAATCTGGACTGAGCGGTAGTCAAGCTTAATTTTCTAAAATACCTTTTTATAGGCAATTTTTGGTCTAGCAATAACTGTTTTTTGAAGTGTTTAATTATGGAATGAGTTTTAAATTCGAAGCCTTCCTTAATATTATTGCTAGACAGTTGATTATTTAATTTATTTATTAAATAATTAGTCCTTTTTTTCTTAATCATCTATGTTTAACTACCACTAAAAAATTGAAAACAAGAAGCAATAACGTACTTTATTATTTACTACTCGTAACATTTATTAACATTTTTCCAAAGAGTTGTTAATTTGCTTAAATAATGTAAAGTATACATATACTTAAACATTTAAATTTAAATTTCTTTATTTCTCTATTGCATATCCAAAATTGAAAAATTTTCCAATCCTCGGAAAAAATCTGTTTCTTTTTCCATTAGTTAAATTTTTCATTTTATTTTTTTTTTTATCTAAAAGTTTATATTATTCAAAAATTATAAATTTGTTTTTATAATGCTTAGCATATTCTGTAAAAACTCCGCACATTATTTATTATTAAAAGATACAAATTGGCTTCTTAAAAATTTGATCTAAAACTTGAAAAACATTCTGGCAAAGAAATTACATAAAAAATAAATTTGTTGAGTTATATAATTTGTTAACAATTTTTTTTGTACAACGTTAACTGTGATAACAGTTATAAATAGACTAGAGTAAATATTGTAAAAAGGACCTATGTAGGTAAATAAATCAAACCTAAAAAAATATTACTCGAAATTAAAATAAAAGCTTTTCATGTGTTTATCTCTTTATGTTTATTATTATAACTAAAATACATTATTTAATTATTTTTATTATAAAATTAAGAAGAAACTAAATATATCAATTAAACATTTAGAAAAATAAAATAATAATTTGATATTTAATAAACTTTTTATCATGAAAGTCAATGATTAATTTAGAAAAGGTGTATTTTTCATACAATTATATAATATATTACATGTGTATTTACATTACATACATATAAATAATTTATAACATGCCTGTTTTATCCAAAATCAATAAAAATATTTAAAAAGAAATATTTTCATAGTTTTAAACTTAATTTCAATAATGTACTTGCAATAAAAATTAATTTAAACAAAATAAAAAAAATTGTTACATGACGCAATTTGATTTTGGTTTTTTTCGTATTTCAGTTTCTCATGTCATCTTATCCATTTTATCTTCCACGCATTAAATAGCTATACCCATACTATAAAAAGATGTTAGATAAATTTTATTCATTTGCACATTTCCAATTAAATATGCCTATATAAAAAGGCACTGTTAAATATAAATGAGCAATTGAAAGTCTTAAGTATGAGCAATTGCCTGCCTCAAACAAATTTGCAGAGGCTAATTTGTCCCTAAACTGGCAAAGGTTAAATCGAGTTTCATTCTTTCAAAAGTTAGCAATTTTTGCAGACGGTGGAGCAAAGCTCATATATGTAATTTCAAGTAAATCGGTTGAATATTTTCTTCAAAACGGTGAAAAATGTAAAATCGGCCCGCAAATCAGTTTTCGAGCCCTGATCTTTCCAAAAAATTTATATGTTCATTGTTTTAATACGAGGAATTCAAATATTAAATTTCAATGAAATCGGTCAATTATTTCTCTATATATACGCAAAAATGTATATTTGGCCCGTAGTAAACGTCCAGTTGCTGATGCCTGATTTCTCCCAAAAGTTAGAAATTTTTGCGGACGGTGGAGAAAAGCTTATATATGAAATTTCAAGTAAATCGGTTGAATACTTTCTTCAAAATGTTCAAAAATTTAAAACAGGCCCGCTAAAAAGTGCAGTTCCCGAGGCCTGATATATCCCAAAAGTTGATCAATCCGTGCCATGGTGGAAATAAACTTACATATAAAATTTCATCAAAATCGGTTCAGCAGAACTTGAGATACACGCGTGCACACACAGACCGACAGACCGACAGACCGACAGACCGACAGACCGACAGACCGACAGACCGGCAGACCGACAGACCGACAGACCGACAGACCGACGGACCGACAGGTTGCTAAAAATAGTTTACTTACACTTCCCTACTATGGAGAAATGCATTCCCACCGAAAACTCGATATGTAAAATTTGTTGCCATCACATAACCTACCTATTGTTTACACAATACGGTCGGTAAAAAGAGTCGCATCTAATCCTGAAGAATCCAGGGAAGAATCAAAAAATTAATGTAAATCAGAATCTGCGGATTCTCAGTGATCACAAAAGGCACTTAGAACCGCTCTATCTCTTCTAGTTTAACCAGAAAACGCGTTTAAAGTTTTAAAAAAGATTTTTTTAAAAATCTCCAAAAATATTTTTGCTACAGCCTAATCTGTGGATTCCCCGTGACCACAAAAAAGACTTTAAATCGCTTCATCTCTTCTAGTTTAGCCAGAAAACGCGTTTAAAATTTTGCAAGATTTTTTTTAAATATCTTCAAAAATACTTTTGCTACAGCCTACTATCATATATTGGCAGAATCTGTGAATTCCCAGTGATCACAAAATAACACTTAGAATTGCTCTGTCACTTCTAGTTTAACCAGAAAACGCGTTAAAGTTTTGCAGAAGATTTTTTTAAATATCTCCAAAAATGTATTTGCTACAGCCTACTATCATATATTGGCAGAATCTGTGAATTCCCAGTGATCACAAAAAATGCATTGAGTCGCTCTATCTCTTCTAGTTTAGCCAGAAAAAGTGTTTAAAGTTTTGGAAGAGATTTTTTAAATATCTCCAAAAACATTTTTGAAACAGCCTACTATCATATATTGGCAGAATCTGTGGAATCCCAGTGATTGCAAAAAACACTTTGAATCGAACTATCTCTTCTAGTTTAACCAGAAAACGCGTTTAAAGTTTTGCAAAAGATTTTTTTAAATATCTCCAAAAATGTATTTGCTACAGCCTACTATCATATATTGGCAGTATTTGTGGATTCCCAGTGATCACAAAAAAGACTTTAAATCGCTTCATCTCTTCTAGTTTAGCCAGAAAACGCGTTTAAAATTTTGCAAGATTTTTTTAAATATCTTTAAAAATACTTTTGCTACAGCCTACTATCATATATTGGCAGAATCTGTCAATTCTCAGTGATCACAAAAAACACTTAGAATCGCTCTATCTCCTCTAGTTTAACCAGAAAAAGCGTTTAAAGTTTTGCAAAAGATTTTTTAAATATCTCCAAAAACGTTTTTGCTATAGCCTATTATCATATATTGGCAGAATCAGCGGATTCTCAGTGATCACAAAAAACTCATTGAGTCGCTCTATCTCTTCTAGTTTAGCCAGAAAAAGTGTTTAAAGTTTTGGAAGAGATTTTTTAAATATCTTCAAAAACACTTTTGCAACAGCCTACTGTCATATATTGGCAGAATCTACGGATTCTCAGTGATCACAAAAAACACTTTGAATCGCTCTATCTCCTCTAGTTTAACCAGAAAACGCGTTTAAAGTTTTGCAAAAGATTTTTTAAATATCTCCAAAAACGTTTTTGCTATAGCCTATTATCATATATTGGCAGAATCTGTGGAATCCCAGTGATTGCAAAAAACACTTTGAATCGCTCTACCTCTTCTAGTTTAACCAGAATTTGTGGATTCTCAGTGACCACAAAAAAGATTTTGAATCGCTCCATCTCTTCTAGTTTAGCCAGAAAATTTTTTAATGTTGCGGAAAAATTTTTTTAAAAATCTCCAAAAATATTTTTGCTACAGCCTATTATTATATATTGGCAGAATCTGTGGATTCTCAGTGATCACAAAAAACACTTTGAATCGCCCTATCTCTTATAGTTTAGCCAGAAAAAGCGTTTAAAGTTTTGGAAGAGATTTTTTTAAATATCTCGAAAAATATTTTTGCTACAGCCTACTGTTATATATTGGCAGAATCTGTGGATTCTCAGTGATCACAAAAAACACTTTGAATCACCCTATCTCTTCTAGTTTAGCCAGAAAACGCGTTTAAAGTTTTAAAAAAGATTTTTTTAAAAATCTCCAAAAATATTTTTGCTACAGCCTACTACCATATATTGGCAAAATCTGTGGATTCCCAGTGATTACAAAAACACTTTGAATCCCTCCATCTCTTCTACTTTAGCCAGAAAATGGGTGTAATGTTTTGCAAAAATTTTTTTTAAATATCTCCAAAAATATTTTTGCTAAAGCCTATTATCATATATTGGCACAATCTGCGGATTATCAGTGATCACAAAAAACACTTAGAATCGATTTCTCTTCTAGTTTAGCCAGAAAACGCATTTAAAATTTTGGAAAAGATTTTTTTAAATATCTCCACACATATTTTTACTACAGCGTACTATCATATATTGGCAGAATCTGTGAATTCCCAGCGATCACAAAAAACGCCTTGAGTCGGTCTATCTCTTC